TTTGAGACTGTTCTTTAAATCTTCAAGTAACACTAATTGATATCAGGGATTAGCAGATACCTCAGACAAACATCTGAGGAAACCAGCTCAATACGCTACCATGACCCAAAGGGTCAAGATATCCCAGATACTGAGGATACAATGAACAGCAACACGGAACACATTCTTCATTCTTGTTTAGAATCCCAGCTCTTTCCACACCTGTAGATCTGTCAACACACATCAGAGAGGGCAAAGTAGATTCAGAAACTTCTGGAAAATGCTAGCCAAAATGATGAAGAGAACAGAGAGGCATCCTCATGAGGCCAGACTTTGAAATGAGATAAAATGCTTGCACAACTGGAAAGAAAAAGATGAGACTGGTAGGACTCAGGTGAATTAAACCATTTTATAATCTAGACTGAGTTCCCAGATTGAGTTCTTTCTCTTCCATTCCCCAAACACGAGAATTAAATCACACTCTTAGAATATTTATCCATCATTTATCGTTTTCAGGGCAGGCTGAAAGAAGCAGTTTTAAACAACTAGAAAGAATGAATAATTACTTTGTATTGTGATTAGTAATTTTCTGAGTTTTATAGTCCAGAATACTATAGTCTATAATATTTGCTAGTATGTAGCTAAGTCAGAGAAATGACTACATAAACATGGACTGGGACAGCTAGACTATGTTCCTGATAGAACCTGTTTATTGGTCCTACATTCTGAAATTTGCAAGTTTAAGAACATGCAATCTGGTAGTAATGAATTTTCATGCTTTTAGAGACAGAATATTGGGCCACATGGGCTTCTGATTTGACAGAGTGAAATACAAATGTGTGCTTTCACAAAGGGGCCCTCACTTTTCACTGCTATGAAAAAATACACCATTTAAATTTTTGATAGGAAATTCTGTATCAACTAACATTTCAAACTTCTGGAAGCATTACGATAATTATTTTACTAGCAAATAAATATGTACAGCTTAATGCCTTAAATATTAACACTGTTAAATCATAATTGTTTACATAATATGAATCAGTGGCATTTTCAAAGGTTTTATACAGAGACCCTGAATACATCAAATTCCTGAGGCTCACTGAAATAGATATTACACTGAGATTCATTCTGGTGCTTCTTTAAAAGCTGAGAGTCATTTTGCCTTTCTCTTGATAACTGTAAAGTCAATATAGACTACGGCAAGTCAAAGCACACAACCAAGCCTTTGCTGGTTTCAGGAAACCCCATTTCTCAGCAAACAAAATTTCTGAATCTATGAAGCAGGGAAGAAAGGTACACCCTCACCATTACCCACCGAATCATTCTGTTTAACCTTCACATGGAAAAACCATCATCTTAGCTCACAGGTACTGTGAGTACTTCCCATATTTGAACACGCTGCCTTAGATTCCCCTACTACAATCTGCTGGTGCTTGGTCCAGTGGCCAGGCTGAGAGAAAAAGAACATCTATTTCCTAGAAGTCACTTCACACAGCCAATTTCAACAAAATGTGTATTTTCAGTCACTCCTTAATTAATAGAAGAAGTAGGAAACAAAATTTCTGGATTTGAGTTTTATTTCCTTTCTGTGTTCTTGAGGTCTTCTTGGTGAAAATGCTGTATGAGTTTGTGACCCAAACAGGAAAAAAAGTGAAGGGAAACCAAATCCCACCAAAGAAATCGTTCAGGTTATCATGAGGACTATTTTGACATACAGCCATATTTGCATACAGGATATTTGCTACAAATGCAATTACAAAATGAAATAAAAATTCTTTCCTCACCTCTTATCAGAAAGAACTAGAAGTAGTAAAGTTAAAAATATGTAAGACTTATAGAAATTTCCATTAGCTTCACTTGTCCATAATCTATTCATTACAGTATAGTTAAACAAGATGCATGTATTTTCAGAGAAGACTCAAAGGAGGCACAAATCTACACAAATAAATTCACCATCTATACAGGGGGAAAATCAACATAAAAATGATATTTCCATTCATGTTTTGGGGTCGTCTATCTAGTAACAGACAATTTTAGGATAAGAAAAAATGAAAAAATACAGATTTTAGTTTTCTCTCTTATCCATTTTATAGTCAATATTAGTTTTAGGAACAAAGGCCAACAATCCTATTACATGATTAGCAACATGGAGGAAAGCAAAAAAAAAAAAAAAAAAAAGTCAATTTTGCTATGAAGCACATTATATCCCTTGCCATATGACATCAAGTTCAGTATAGTTTTAGGAGTCTGAGAAAATGTAGTCCCTAATATCTGACTTCTAGTATATACATATAATATTATTTCTAAGAAGACATTTTTACCTTCCTGACATAGTTTTGTAAAGTCTCTTTTTCCCAATCTACCAGTCCCATCTGCAGCCCAAACATTTCTTTCCAAAAGAGGAATTAAAGCCAAGCAAGACAAAGAATTTGCTGATACACATGTCACCCTAAGAATTTTCCTTACCAAGTCTCCACACCCAATTTAATTACTTCCCTACTGTAAAAACACTTTCCATCTACATTTATTCTAATCTTTTCAAATCCAAAACCAACACACTATAAAGCTAGCCAAATAAATGAATTATATTAGCTTTAGGTTCCAAGTGAGGCAGCACTTTATAAGGCCATAGGTCTCTAGCTTTCATGCATTTTATGCTGATGCAGTGTTTCATTTGGAGCTCAACTCTTTACTTTAGATTTGTTTAGAATAGAATTATCTAGCCCCAGGCTTTAAATCTCAATCTGAATTGATCAATCTCTTTCTCCTTTTTTCTCTATCTCAGTGTTCTCTCTCTTTCCCTCTCTCTCTTTCTTTCTCTCTCACACACAGGAGAAGGGAGGGAGGGAAGGAGAGAAAGAGAATACAGGAAGGTTTGTGGTTACAATGAGCACCAAAGAATGTACCCATGTACATATCTTGCTAAAGCAAGGCTGCCTGGTGTCCATAATAAAGGCATTTTGGGGTGTCTCTGTGTATGTGTGTGTTTAATAGGTGATAAAACTGAACCTCAGCATATGCATACAATAAATACTATTTTGGGCATTCTTGGATGCTTTGACTATTCAGTAAGTTATTGTATCATTTTTGTGTAAAATGATATTTTGCACAATGCAAATTTTTTGTGCAAAATGATTTGTGCAAAATGATATTCCATCATTGCTTTAACTAAGTGCAAGTTTTAACACTCTAATACCTAATAGCTATGAGTAAACAGAGAAGCCAAGAATAGCCATGCCTTTATGTTACTGACACTTTCAGAGTGTGGAGACTGTCCCTTGCACCAGAAGTTAGAAGAGGAGACCAGCCAAGACCAGACCAACCATCTCTTGGTTTCCAGGAAATAAAGGCAGTTTTCAATTAATATATATATATTAATATAATAATATAGTCTATATTATAAAATAAAATATATTTTAAATAGTCTCTTAAAAATAATCACAGTTTACCTTAGAAACAAAATTGTACTTCTAAGGTCATATAAGCTGGGATTTGCTAGATAAAAGAGAATGATCTAATTCCGGTTTAAATACACTGAGTTCAAAATTCTCTGTTTTTCCTCTAAGTTACTGATATCAATTGTGAACACAACCAGTTTGGTGCTTTCTGCTTGTTTAAAATTTATTTAAGCATAACACCATGTCCAAAAATCCTGAGTGGACTTAAGGGAAAAATTTTTGATATAAAATATCACTAAGGATGATGATATTGCCTCTTAAAAATTAATCCTCAAGATCAGCTTTGCAAAAATTACCTAATTACTTAAATAACAAATCATAGGTAGGTCACTCAGAAAGGTCAGCAAAATGATTAGGAAGGAAATACCCACAAGGATTAGAGCTTAGACCTTTCTTTCTCTCCATGCATCCTGGAATTACTCTGCTTTGTAGGAAAACCTTTAATGGTTCATCCATTTCCTAATGCTCTGATAAGCTACTTGTTTATATTTTGATATCCAATTATAAAGGACAAAGATCAAAATGTCAAAGAACAAATGTCAAAAGTCTTGTATCATATTTGTATACTCTTGATGATCCAAAAGAAAAGACCATTTACAATCATTTTAATGTAAGATGTATCAGAATTAACTATAGGAAAATCATACTGCATAAAGTGAGGGAAGAGTTATTCAAACTGTCAATGTTGGCGCAAAATATATACTTGTTCTCCAAAAAAAATATATGGTGGCCATAAACATTTCCCTTAGATGTTGTATTGCTGTATTACACCAAGAGAATCACTTCTTACATCATACACTGAAGCAAGGAGGGAGGACAAAAGAAACTAAGACCCATCTCACCATTAAATACAAATTTGTAACAAGCTAAGTTATAGCATTAATATCATATCCTGGTTATGTTTATTATTGTAATGGTATTTATAATACTTCTTAAAATTCAAGCCTGGATTTTGAAATAAAAATCTGTAGGCCTAAAAAGATCTCTTGGGCATCCAGTCTAAGTACAAAAAAAGAAATGGCACGAAGTTCCTGTATGTGGTGGTCTGACCATCTTATTGGATCATTTCTACTTGCTCCAAATAACCCAAAAGAGAAGGTCGAGTCAATTTTGATTTTTCCAATTTGACAGCATTCTCAAAATCTAGCAATGCTTTATCAAAAAAAAAAAAAAAAATAGAAGTACTATAGTTTTTTGGTAAACAGAGATTTGAGAGTTATTCAGTTTCTGGAACAATTTCAGATGTGAATACATTATAAGAAAAGATTAGAAAGCAAAATGTAGCTAAGCTCATAGAGTAAATGGAAAGGGAAGAAGCTTTCAAGTATTTCTAGAGGATGTCTATTATCATTCTTTAAAGCTGACTTCAATTGGAATCCTCTTTATTCATATTATGGCTAACAGTCCTATAGCCAACATGAAATGCAGTTTTCATGAAGAAAAAGTTCTTAAAGAACCTCAACGTTTCAAATCACGGTTGTATCTGGAGTATGACATCTTACTAGTTAGTTCTCCACAATTGCCATTTTCCTTAGTGGAGTCCCGGCCTCCATTTTACAGTACCTGGAATTCTGAGCTTCTGAAACGTCTGGTTCTGTGCACGTTTTCTTTACCTGTAAGAAAAGAGGCCTAGTTATTCTCATATGAAAACGTAACTTCCTCACTCAGGTTCACACACTTGATGAAGCAGATACAGCTCTGCTCACCTAGATCTCTAGAAAATAATCCCCACACTTCTCAGCCGCAGGATGCAGGGCTTAACAACGGATTTCATTATCCCATGATCGACGGCCGCAGGCACTTCCCTAGACGCCATCAGTATGTAAAATGTTCGGCTGAAATGGCTTGGGACTAGCTTAACTAGGAACAAAGAAACCAAAGAACCAGGTTTCCCACTTAGGAACAAGAAAGCCATACTGTTCTCAATTCACGAAGAAATGTTTTTCCAATTGATACTGCTTCTGTCCTCTACCACAGTGCACAATAATAAACACCAGGTTCTGGGGGCAAAGCATCGTGTGAGCTAAAACATTCACATATTAATTTTCATTTTCTCAATCCAGTGGCTGTATGCTTTATATATTTCTCAGCATATCAATTAAGTCTCAGCAGGGCTCACAGACTTCTCACATATATTTGCAGTATATTTTGCAGACTGTATTTCCACTTTGTGGTTTTTGACCCACAAAAGGTAAGGAATGAAAGTAACTTGTGCTTCTAGGACTTCTAGGACTAACCATTTCTGGACAACAGTGTGTGATACATTCTCTGAAAGAAGCATGGATAACTTTATCTGATCACTATGGGCTTAATGGTATATGATACGCAAAGTAGACTCAATTTAAAAAATTCCTTAGTTAATATGGATCATGAACAATACACATTTACAAGGCCACGGTTAGACACTCTCAGTGTTAAAATCATGAGGGTCCATCTATGCAACCTACAGAATCCAAGGCATTTTAAATTCTAATGCGAAGCTTAGAGGTGAAAAATAAGTCTACTGGATATACACCATGGGCACACACTATGGGTGTTAACAGTGATACAAAATGCATCTCTTAAGAGTAAGTTTTGAGGGGCATCTGGGTGGCTCAGTTGGTTAAGTGTCTGACTCTGGCTTAGGTCATGATCTCAGGGTCCTAGGTTCAAGCCCTGCATCAGGCTCCCGACTCAGTGTAGAATCTGTCTGCTCCTCTCCCTCTGCCCCCTCACCGCCACCTCCACTCATGCTCTCTCTCTCCCTTTCTAATAAATAAATAAAATCTTAAAAAAAAAAAAAGAGTAAGTTTTGAATTTTAAAGATCCAGCATTGTCTTTCCAGCTCATAAAATAATTTTCTCCTCCTCTGACTCAGAAGAACACATAAAAAAAAACACAAAAACTCCTATGCTTTCAAATATCTATGTGTTTTGCTTTAATTTCTAAGCCTAGACATTTTCATCATCTGGGAAATCAATTATTTTGCTTGATTAACCTCACTCTCCGTTGTATCCTATGTATACATTTATACAATAGGAAAATAAACCTGATGAGCAAAGAGATTATCGTCCCTGTCTCATCATGGAGCAGCTCCTATGCTCTTAACATGAATTCAGCACCATGAGATAGAAGGGTGAAGAAATATTTCAAGAGGAATTAGTTAAAAGAAAAAATTTTAAAAAATGAATACTTTTCTTAAAATATAAACAAAATTTCCTACAAAACCCAAAAAAGTCATATGCCCACTAAAAATTATCCAAAAAGAAAAAAGAAAAGCTATAAGGGTAGTATACTAGAACAAAACCCTTATTTCCCACCAGGTTATTTTATATGATTCGTCACCAGAAACTACATGAACTGTCCAATGAATATGCAGAATCACCTCAAAGTCAATGTTACTTTCCTCAAGACTATGATGACTAGATTTTGGGACTGGCTGAAGAAGCCCCAGACCACACTAGCAAACTCCAAAGCAAGAGTCAGAACCAGATAAGCTTCCTATGGCTTAAAAAACAAAGGATTTAAAAAAAAAAAATACTCGTGGCTTTTATAAAGCATCGTTCTTTAAATAATTAACCAGAAAGTTCTGATTATTTTATTTAGTCTCAGAATAGTAATTACGATGGCAAAGAACACATCTACTGATTACTCACTGTCTAATACCCACTGAGTCTCAGTTTCATAGCTAAAGCTATGATGAAAGACTGAAGTAGATACAGATATTCTTTATCCATATAAATTGCTAGAGCTATAAATTCCACAAAGTGATCTTTTTTAGGGTTTCATTCATTTATTCATGGTCCAATGAGGGAAGAATAACATTTAGAATACCATGACTGCTATAGGAAAGGTCTGTACAGTGTTATGGTTGCTTAGAGGAAAATCCGGCCCAGTCAAAGGAAGATGGGGATAGCAACAAAGGAAGTGACTTCTCAAATGAGTCTTTAAAAAGACAAAGTCTTCAAAGACTAAATCTGGAGAAAAGTTATTTCAATATCAAGGGATTTTCCAGAAGAATCCTATTATGAAGAAGACCTTACACATAACAAAGAATTCAGAATTTATCTTTGGGCACTTAAGAACATTGATGAGTTTTAATAGACAACCTCGGTAGAGATGATGTAGAAGATAGTGTAGAAGCGGGGTGAAGTGAAGGCTGTAGAGACTAATGCAACAGGAGAGAGAGTTTCAGCTCCACAAGAGCAGAGATGGCATTGATCTTGCCCATTATTACACCCCTAGCCTTGAGAAGAAGCTCCCTGTTACGGTCTGAATGTTTGTGTCCCCGCAGAATGCATATGCTGGAATCCCAACCCCTGGAGATTATGAAGTGGGGCCTCTGGGAGGTGCTTAGGCCATCAGGGTGGAGCCTTTGTTAATGAGATTGATGCTTTAGTGAAAGATATCCCACAGGGCTCCCTACCCTTTCTACCACGTGAGGACACAGCAAGAAGGCACTAGCTATGAACCAGGAAGCAAGTTCTCACCACATGACCACGCTAGTAGCACGATCTTGGACTTCCAGCATTTAGAACCACCAGAAATAAATTCCTGTTGTTTAGAAGCTGCCCAGTCTGTGGTGTTTTGATATGGCAGCTCAAGTGGACTCAGACACTCCCCAAATACGAGTTTAATAAGTGAAACACATTTCAAGCCATTGGTGAGAGATGGTGACAACCTAAATTAAGACAAGAACTATGAGGACAGAGGTGAGAGGATATTTTTCACAGATATTTCTGATACAACTGACAGAATATTATTACTGATTGAAGCAAAGTACCAAGATGAATATGACTTGATCTTCTAATCTGTCCTTGAAAAGAAATTTTGATAATACCGAAGACCAAAAAAGATGTTAACTTATAACTTCTTTAAAATACTTCAAAAACCTCTGTCTTGTTTCTGAACTGATTGGCAAAAGTGAAATGAATCATTAGGAAACGTATATGTTGACTGTGTCTTGATCATGGAACTAGAAGGCAAATGGATAGTGTAACTAAATTTGAATACACCCTCCCATCTGAGAGATCAGCAACACCTCCTTAAATGTGGCTGCTGAAGTAGGTATGCTACTGGAGAATGAATATCCTTGCAAAATATATAGAACCTTCTGTTTTCAGAGATCACCAACTAAGTTTTCAATTTGTTTTTGAAAAAAGTAGAAACAGGAAGGCAAAGAAGTGAGGCAGAATTTCATGCCCGTATTTTAAATCAAGGCCTAATTTTCATAAGACACACAAGGAGGTGAACAAACAATATGCCAAAAGGAAAAAGACAAATAACATTAATAAATGCGTTTAATAGGCTGCACTAATGTGAATTTTTACCCTACTTAACGTTATAAAAGTACAGGCAAAATCAAAGCAAAATGAAAAACAATTACAAGTTTATTTTTAAAAAAATAACTATTCGGTATGTCATCAACATAAAAATATCAAAACACCAAATTTTTGGAATGAATGAATGAATGAGAGCTAAAAGTTTTAAGTGTTTATTGTATGCCAGGCACAAGGCTTAGGTAGAAACTCTTTTTTCCCAATTCATAGATGAGAATACTGAGAATCAGGAAGATTAATCTGCAAGCAAGTTGTGTAGGAAAATTCAATTCCAGATTTATAAAGGCATTTTAACCAGTACATTAAGAACCTAAAATTCATAAACACACTACTTAAAATGTTTAAAATGAAGATCAAAAATGTCTTACTCTTTATAAGTTGAATTTTTACTACATCATAATAATGATAATTGCTGTCATTTATTAAGCAATTACTTTTTTCCACTCACTGTGCTGGAGTATGTATATATGCAATCTCGTTTAATCTATGAAGATGGGTGTGATGGATGAAATCTTCCTTTTACAAAAGAGAAGACTAGAGCTCAACAAGGTTAAACAACTTGTCCGGTGTTCCACCGCTAGCACTAAAAGGGATGGATTTAGAATTGAATACTATGCACCAAACCTTTCTTTCTCTCCTGTACTAGATGTGCTGGTTGCTATTAGTAGGTTTTTTAAAACTAAGAGCTGAAATTAACATCCCATGGAAAAATTTTTAAAGAACCTACTAGTTATTTCCTACAATACATCAACCATTAAAGGAATCTTTTAAATTGGGCTACTGAAATACCCTGTCTTTATCAAGCACTGGTAACATTTAAAGTCCACAGAAGCAAAATGAAATGGAGCTTTAAAGAAATTTTCCAAAAACCTCTAGTATCCAGTGCCCCTACCAACACTGCAACAACTGCAGAAAAGGTCTTGTGTGCTTCTGTTGATCTTTTACATCTGAGTTATCAGAAGTGGCTAACTCAACAGCGCTTTAACTGAAAGCACTGGGGTGTACTAGGTACCATTCTGGGCATGGAGGTGGACCAGAGCTGAGGAGTCCAGCAGAGTAGCCTCTAACCACCTTTCACTATTTAGTGCAGCTAGTCTACACTGAGATACGCTGGAAGGGTAAAAGGTGCACAGGATTTCAAAGAGTTAATGTGAAAAAAATGTAAAGTATCTCAGTATTTTTTATGTTGAGAAATGAAATATTTTAGAGATACTGGGTTTATAAAATAATTTCCCGTTTCTTTTTATTTTTCTAAGGCAGCTACTAAAGAAACAGAAAATACATATGTGGCATAT